AGGCATTGTAAAATTTTACTTACAAATACAAATTTAATTTCATTTATTGTAAAATCGCATTTCTTTATTAATATTTTGCTTAAAATTAAAAGCATACAATTTGTTATTCCAATTTATAATTGAGCGATCAATTTTGATGTGCTTTTCAAAGTTTCATTTTTATTTCTTCTTTTATATATCAATTACCAAAATAAGCCCACAAGTAATAAAATGTTAATAGCGATTGTTACATAAAGTATATTCTCATGTCGTAAGAGCGTAAACTTTCCTCGAGCTCGGTAAATATCGTGAAAATTTGTACAACTGATTTAGACTTACAATGATGCTTTATGTAATAGGCAAAGTCGGAACTCTGGACTTCGTAGAAAAGCATTGCAGCACAATTACACGCACGACGTCGTTAGAAAATATTGACTTCATACGACAGCGATTAATTTCGTAGGAGTTAAAAATTATTCAAATGAATATACGTAAATGAAACGTAAAATGACAGTTCATACTTTATAGAGATATGTTTTTTAAAAAATGAATTGAAAATCTATACAATATATAAAAGGTATTCAAATTCATACAAAATATAGTTAAAAGCATAAAAATAAAAAACTATATTACAATTATTTGAAATATCAAAAAATATATAAGTATTACAATTAGACAGACAATATATGTACATTATAAATTTGTAATCGACGTTTTGCGTCGCATCAAATTAAAATTGTTTTGAAGCATTTTATTCAATGTTTAATTTAAAGAAAAATTTAAATTATCAAGCAAATTTTAAATTATTTTAAACACATTTAAAACTAAAGAAAAAGTATATATTTCTTTTGATATTAAATTATATTTATTAAATGATAATAATAATAAAATTACAAGATTTAAGTTCATTTGTTTTACCGATTAAAATCAATACCTAATTTTCATTTGTCAAGTCGTAACAATATTTGTTTCATATAAAAGCTCTACAATTTGCACACTTATATGAAATAAATTTTCTAGATTAGTAAATCAGAATTAGATTTAAACCTAATTCGGTACGAAATTGTATAATATGAACGTATGTATGCATTGATGTAGTAATAATGTGTCAATATATAGTAAATCGTATGTGTGTAAAACAGGTTTAATCGGTGAAACAGCGATCTCTTTGGAATTCAACTTCTTTGGAATTTAGCCAGCAATATCCCTTAAATATATATATAAAATATATAAAAATATTTTATACACACATCACAACTATTTAACCATGACTATTGTGCCTATTCTACAATAGTCGTAAGCGTAGTTGTAAGTGGTTATAATTGTAAGAATTGTCCAATCAAGTTGAATATGAGGAGAATACTTGACTGTGATTGGTGAATAAAACTGATTTAGAAAACTATAACCATTTAAACGATATTATCAATAACGTAGTTAGTATTATTTGAACTACACAATTTGCAAAAAAAATCACAAAAATTTTACTTTCGCATTCGTAAAATTCATTTTTAGTTGATTTGGTATAAAAACAAGCCACAAATATATCAATTAAGAGTTTATACTTCTTTAATTAAGCAGATCATATTTTTATTAGTATAATATTAATAAAATGCAAGTTTGTTTCTGAAAAATATGGGGGTGTCGCTTTAGAAGACCTATATCAGTAGTGACTTTTCTCTACAGTTGCGCTTACGGCTATTATTGTAGAAAAAACAGGTATAAAATTATACATATTACATAAAATTATATAAATTTATCATATGTATCCGCGTCACAGCTGTTCTATGTTTAGCAACATAGAAAATTCATACAATTAGAATACGTAATAGTTACAAAGTCACTGTGCATGACCTTTCAGTGTGCAGATTATGTGTACACGTGATTGTAAAAATCTTTGAACTTTTCGATTTACAATTCAAAATCTCAAGATTAAGTCTACTAATTTTAATTAAACTTGCTTTAATCAAAAGCGCGACATTATATCACAAAAGTACCGTATAGACTTTTCATTATAAAATTTACTGAGTAGTGAGTTTAAATCGAAAGTATGACTAACATATACGGAAAGACCGGTTTCGCTGAAGTGTCTAAAAATTTAGCGAGATATAGATCTATAGAAAATAATTTTATTAGACCGTCAAAAATAATTACATATGACGCTCAAACCGGTTATTATGATGTCAAAAAACATTGTGTAGCGTTATTTGTTATGCTTGATTGTCTTACATAATTATTTTGATAGTGCAGTAAAGTTATCTTTCCTACTAAAATCCGTGCACTTCCGTTATTCTCAATAATTGTAAGCTAATTGGAAATGGTTTCTAATTAAAATTTCTTAATAGGTATCCCGGAATTGGATGTGCCTCCTATAGAGCCATTGGTGATCCCCGAACTAAAGATGGAGAATGGTCAAGGTCCGGTACGTGTTAGGGCGATTTTCACTAACATCACCACGATAGGACCAGGAAACTACAGTGTCAACAAAGTACGAGTGAACATATCATCATATAGATTCGATATGCACCTATCTTTGCCGAAGATTGATATTCATGGCAGCTATGACATAAATGGAAACGTACTTCTCTTTCCCATTCAAAGTCACGGCGATTTTTGGGCGTTATTCGGTAAGAATTCTCATGAGAGGTACAACAAAACGCTAATTTTACAATTTATTAAACAAATATGCCAGTCGGCTAATTTGCATATTCACATTTTGGTATTTATTCGTCATTTTAGGTGACGTAAAGGCAATCACTCGCATGCAAGGTGTCGAGGAAGTAAAAAATGGTACTCGTTACATGAAGGTCTCTCGATTGTTAATCGACTTTAGTCTCGGTCGAGCCAGATTTCGCATAAACGATCACTTGAACGGCAACAACGTTATCGGTCAGGCAATGAATCAATTCCTGAATCAGAATATTAAAGAAATAATTGAGGAAATGAGACCAGCGGCCAGCTCCAGCCTCGGTAAATACTTCAAGGATTTCCTGAACCGTGTTTTCACCAGAATGCCCCTAAAAGTTTGGATGCACGATTCGTAATAGTTCCCAATTTCCAAGGACGTACAAAGTTCACACACGATATCCATGTTGCATTACTTCATCAAAACGTAAGCGTACATTTCTTAATTGCAAAAAGGTATCTCATACAGCATAAATTATTTCTGTAATATAACTGCAATATTGCTGGAATAATCTATGGATACTATAATCCCTACTATAAAAGTACATAATAAATAGTTAGTAATCATAATTTGTTAAGATTTATATATAATGCGTAAGAGATATTCATGAGTAGCGAGCACTGATAAAACACACATAATCATAGTCATACAAATAAGATCAATGCTTTTTTAATGCAACTCACACTTATTTTAAATTAAAATAAATAATAACTATAAATTTATTGTGTTAAAACCGATTGAAAAATAATCTGGATCGACAATGTAAACAATATTTCTTTTACTTACATTTCTAAAATTGTTAAATTTAAACTGTTACATTTTGTTATTAATTGATAAAATAATGTGTAATTCACAAACATTTATATTGTAGTTGTATTAAACGTTCAATTTTTTTTATTAAATTATAATACGTTGTAATTTATCATGTCATAAGGTTTATCATCATAAGAATACCTAGAAACGTTATCACACACAAAATTGTATAAATTATAGATATATGTATTAAGTAAAGCGCATAAGTGTTAATAATTTTATCACATGTATACAAATTTGTCTTCAACGAAATAAATATGTCTACCTCGAAATAAATAAACTGTAGCCGTACAGCATTTTTACAATTAAGAACAAATTGTTATAAATTAATAAAAGAACCTGTCACATCGAATTAACTCTAATTACAGGAAAAGTTAATAATTGGTAATAAAAAATTCCTACCCTAATTTAAGAAGATTCTAAAAATGATTAGTCGTATTGGAAATAGCATTTAATTTACATACAAATCATGTGTCATTGACACATCACTACATCAATTTTATATGAAGCAAATATTGTGATAATTGTTATGACGTGCAACGACATAATAGCTCTAGAGGACCATATTGGATTAAGAAACGGAAAAGAAAAATTAAATTTTGAAATTTTTTGTAAAAGAGGAAAAATGTAATTGTTATACAAAAATTATATGATTTAATCAGTAATACAGACTTTAAGATCTTCTTAAACTCTAACTTTTCTTTTGGATATGTTAATTATTTTTTAATCTTTTCATTTACATGTCATTATGGGTGCGTTTCACTTGACGCTCACAATGCTAATGAAATCATTTCATTATTATTTATCAAATGTTAAACAAGGACAAATAATATTCTCGAGCGTTGTAAGCCAAATAAACTGCATCTTATATGCGATACCTAAAAATATACATTAAAATCAATATCTTCAATTATTGTTATTTATTTTACAAGTAAAAATATTATAAAACTAATTTATTTCGAAATAAAAAAAACCTCACATAAAAGAATTAGTTGAAAGATAAAATTGTTGAACTGTGTTAGACGACTTATTGTTAAACGCAATTAGATTTTACAAAAATGATGTAGTTCAAGAATTCATTTTTAAAAAACTTTTGTTTGATGATTCAAAAGATATTTAAATATTCGCTAATTCACAAATTAAATGTAATTTCTTAGATAACATTAAGATACAAAAAGAACAAGACGTGTAAAAGCAATTGTAAAAAAAAAGCATAACATAGATAAATGGAGTACTATAAATAGAATAAAAGTAAGCTCCAATTCGCCGCGCCGGACGCTCGTTATAGATTCACGCCCTGTAACACACTTGCGAGTCGCGCGGCAGCGCGTTGGCCGATAATGAAATTAGAATCGTGGTAGGACGTATCATTCGACCTCCGACCCTCTTCTCCCGATTCTTGTGAAGTCCTTAAAAGTGAACAATGCATCTTGAGTAGTGCGGCAAAGACGTTCAGCCACGCACGTAGTAAACGCGTGCGCGCGCGCCACGAATCAAATAAGGCAGACACAACGAGATACTATGTGTGTGTGTGTATAAATATTGTGTACTAAATATGTACTATTTGCCATAAGAGTGAGTAGTCTTTCGAATAACGGCTAAACCGGTGTCTGTCACACTTAAATTCTCCGAAAATCCTCGTCCCGGATCTTCTTCGCTGATCGAAATAACTGATCCAGTCCGATCTCACGGTGCACAAAACACATACGAGTGTGAAGAGCTATCTCTAGAAGTGTACAGAATTAAATTGATAACATTATGGCTAAGTTCACCAAGCGACAATGGCTTACCTTGATTGTCATTAGTATTGCCGATTTCGCAAATGCCATTTGCGTCTCACTGCAAGCACCGTTCTACCCTCAAGAGGTAAGGATCGATGATTACGGATTCTTCAAAAAAATTGCATTAGTAAGACGTATGTACAATGTATTGGCGAAAACATTTTTACCAAAAACTGTATAGATTGAGACAAGATCTTAGAAATTTGTGGTTTTTCTATGAATATAAATATTCATAGTAGAACATAAAGTCACGTTATTTGTTTAAAAAACCAAAAACGCTCTCAACAACGCCACTCTACATCCTACCATGAATATCTGAAAAATTAAGAATTGCTATATAAGATTTTGCCTTAATTTATGTAGTTTATCTGAGCTTTTTCGTAAAATTTTTTCCACCAGGGTAGAAACTAGCGGTGATCATAACTCTTATTTAAAATATCATAGGAAAAAATTTTCAATCTTTAGATTTCTCTCGCAATTTCAAATGAGAGAGAGAGAGAGAGAGAGAGATAACAATGTTTAAATTACACGCGTTTATAGACATAACAAAATTATTATCATTGATTCACGGTACCATTAAATGTAAATACTTCGTAATTCATGAATTAAAAAAGATTAAAAGAAATAGTTAATCGTGTCAAAAAGAATTTCGAACATGATAGCCAAAGTGTTTACAAATAGCACTATAGTCTTACTACCCTTGTAATGTATACAGAAAGTCAACAGAAATAGAATATATAAATATTTCTCTTGAATTTAAAAATACAAAAGATTATGTAAGTACAAGATTTATGTTTCAGTAAGAAAATTGTATAAATCGTATAAGAAGATTTTCAGTAAAGAAAATCGTATAAATAATATTTCATTAACAAAACGGAGGATTTCTAATGCCAAATGTGAATAGTATTTTTTCATGCTTTCAACCTTTAATACATTAAGCATTTTAAAGAACATTTTCAGTCGCTATCACATTATTTTTTACTTTCCATGACTTTTTTCTGTCGTATTCCATTTATTAAATCATAAATTATTTAATAATAAAAATATAATATAAATTAAAACATAATATAAAAGACACACACACACACACACACATACAAACATTATATAAAAAATATATATATTCTTTAATATATGTATCTATATTGTTATAAATTTTAAACGAAATTTTAATTATCAAAATTGCAGTGATTAAAATATTAGGTATATTATAATAAAACAATTAATTGGTAAAAGTTAATAAAATATTGCGGCATTTTTACAATATTTAAAGTATTTTCAGAGACGTCAAATTATCAAAATTCAGATCATTTTTTTCAGCAGTACAAAGGTTAACGTACGTTGAAGGAATCTTCTCGATAAGTCGAAGAGTCCATCAAGTTCAATTAATTTCTTTCTTAATAAGATCGATATCGTATTTTCACGCGTGCAAAAATAAATCACACTACTAGAAATGCAAAATCTCAATGTCATGTTTTTTGTGATAAGAAGAAGTGGATGTCCATTAAAAAGCAATTTTTATCAAATTACATGCGTTATAGCACGTCAGAATTTATTTGCTTCTGTGATTTAAAAATTTATTACGTACAAACCGATAATAACGAAAAAGTTGGAAATGAAACCTCTTAGTAAACAAGCCTATACTGTAATTTGTTTCTTTTTATTGCATAATAATATGTAGTCCGGAAAAACTGTCTAATTCTTCTTTTAATTAATTAATAAATGAATCACCTTTAACTTATTTTTTAAATATCTTTTTAATAACAATACATAATACCGAATGTATGATTGCATACGTGCAATATATTATGAAATAAAAAGAGAAAACTTACATATAAGATCGAGCTGATAATTTCTTAAATATCAGCAAATGCCAAAAAATTAATATTTTTTTCGCAAATCTAAGTAAAATTTCGAAGAAACACGTGTCAAATGCGTGTCTACGAATGATACACGTGTCTGAAAATGTTGTTCATCTATCGCAAGACAAACGGCGACATTTGATAATTCAGTTTGTATATTATAGTCTCGACGCGTGGAGCAAAGCTCTAAAGTTTATCGGGATATTATCTCGACAAGTATTAATTGCAGTGCGACGCGATAGTCGACCACACTGCTGCGTAGCTCAATGTATCTTCGAGTCGCCAATATTTCGAATGACTTAAAATATCAACGAATTAATACAATATATAACATATATTGAGTTAGGGAGAGTCCTTTTACATATATGTAAAAAGATTCTTCCCCAATCCATCATTTGTTACGAAATTTTCAAATGTTGCAATTATATGATTCGATAGAGCAAAGTTTCAGCTTTAAGAATCTGTGTTTTTAATTGCGGTATGATGATTTTTAACAAAGTTATGAGCAATCAAAATTAGTATGCCCCTTTACTTAACTCGCGAATAACTGAGGAACAAAAAATCATAGAAATATTTTTAAAAACCAATTTTGTAAAGAAAGCCTTCACGATAGTTGAATTTTCGTAAACTTTTTTGGGGCACGTGAAAGACCTCCAAAGTGCAAAGAAAATTTGGTAGAGTTACCAAATTCGTAGAAACTCAAAAAATACAGTAATCTTTCGAAAGTAGAGATTTCAAGCTTTAAAACCTTTTTTTTAAATTTAAATTTTGTTCATTTTTAACTTAAAGATATTATAAAATAAAGGTTCTCTTACATAAAAAACTTTGCTCAACTCAATATGTACAAATGTAATTGACAAAAGTATTCCTTTTTCACAGGCCGAAAAAAAAGGAGCGTCACCATCAGAATATGGACTGGTCTTTGGGATTTTCGAGCTGGTGGTCTTTATTATTAGCCCAATTTACGGACAACATGTAAGTGCAGATGACATAATTATATCAATTAAAGCATAAGATGCATTTTCAACGTCACGATGTGACCTTCTCGCCATAAATCAAATTATTACATTAAATAGATAAAGCTGAGTAATATAATACTTATCTATAATTATCTGTATAGATTACAGATAAGTCTTTTAATTTTCAATTCAGTTGTAAATTTTCATTTATTCGTGCCTTGAGTATTTCAGTTGAGCCAAGACATTTTTTTGTTAAATAATGTGGCTATCGCTACAGATAAAATATTGAAGATAAATATTACGAAATAATCAGAAAAATGATAAAAATAAAGAGCTATAAATATCGCAAATACATGAAATTCGAATTGCAAGTGAACCTATGTAATGATTAAGGTTGCAACACGTAGCGTTGGATCTTGCCGTTTTTCAGGCTCATCTATAGCTATACGTGCGGATATTTGTGGATTATTATTTTTTTGCTAAAGCGTGAAAATATATAATATTTTACACTTTGATAAAAAAAAATATATCCAAAAGTTTGCAAATATTTTCAACAAAAAAAAATTAGATTTTAGCATTCATAATATTTTGTTTGCATTAAATTTTTATCAAAATGTAAGGAATATATATATATACATATAAGTTGTATTACTTTTAAAATTTGTAGAGCTTAAAATTGTATCATCATCCAAGAAAAAATATTCTGCCGATAAGCGGGGAATTCCTCTTATCATTTCCTCTAAACAAAAAATCTTACATAAATCAGGCGCGTGTATTTACATATAACATATATAGGGTTACCGCCCAAGAGTGCGCACTTTTTCTTTGAAACTATATAACCGATATAAGGATCTGAGTTCGGACAGTAAAATGCTTAGATTATTCTTTACACTTTAAACTAGAAGTTTATCAAGTATAAATGTAATACTATGATTCGTTTTTACAGGAGATTAATTTTACTAAGAAAAGGAAAATGCAAACAAGTGTCTTCTCAAGAGTTCGCATTATAGTTCATAATTTTCATTTTTTACTTTTAATATGACTATATAAAAATTATTACAGGTATTAAGTGAATATATCAATAAATACGAAGCAGAACATGCATGTATACAATATAAATCATACGGATTCATTAAGCAACTATTTAATGTAAAAATCGATCAATTCATCCTTAAACATAGAAAAAAAATGATCCAAATCACAAAATTTAAAATATCTCCTTTATTGCTGCAACGATCACAGATCAGCAAATCAAAAAGGCATATTTTGTGTGAAATACAATTTTTACGATCAAATAGTTTTGTCATATAGCTCAATGCGAACTCTTGAGCAATGCGTACTTTTAGGCGGTCTTACTCTACATGCATCTATTATGTAAAAATGAAGATACATAATTAAAAGTAAATTCCTCTATAGAAAATTCTATAATAACTAAAATAATCTTTTGAAATAAAAGATACAAGATACTATATGAAGAAGTTTGTCATTTACGTGCTACCGTATGCATATCAGTCTCGATATCAGTACATACAAGACATTCTTCTAACATTAAATGGATTCTAATCCTAAATCCAGCTAGCACTTTGTACGTTATACGAAATTCCTTTATTTTATAAATTATCTTCTTGAGGTCATATATATAAATAAAAAATCCTCTGATTTTTTTTTATTTATTTACACGGAATCGCTAAATGGCCGAATATTTTTTGAGAGTGATGAAATATGTGCAAGAATACATTATTATAAAAATGAAACTTTATACGCAAGAGACATTTCATTTCTATTAATATATTCTTTCGTCAATTTGGAATCAATATTTCGTACTATTTAAAAAAAAAATTAATATTTATCACAACTCTCTTTTGAATTTAATTTACTATCTTTCGCAGCTCAATCGAATCGGTCCGAAGTTACTATTCAATGGTGGTATCCTGACTACAGGAACCTGCGCTATATTTTTCGGTTTATTGGATAAAGTCGACGGTCATTATCCTTTTATAATTCTATCCTTCTTAATTAGAATTGTGGAGGCAATGGGAAATGCTGCATTTCTAACAGCTAGTTTTGCCATTATTGCTAAAGAATTTCCCAATAATGTTGGTACGACGTTTGCCAGTTTGGAAACATTTTTTGGCTTAGGCCTTATTGTAGGTCCTACTGTTGGAGGTGCACTTTATCAGGTAATATATTCTTACATTAAAAACAAAAATTAACTTGACTGAATGCGTTTAATTTATAGTAATTATTTAGTTTAAACATTTACATATTTGGCTTAACAAAATCTTATAAACTTTAAAACATGTTATTTGTTTAAATTAACAAATATTTACTTGACAGCCCATGATGACTGCTACATTTAATTGAATCGATTAATATTTTTTTCAAATAATTTTTTCCTCAATTTAGTGATTTGCTTATAAGTCTCGCTTATACTTTAAATGCAGATATCTACATTTTGTACATATTCGCAAAATAACGCGTTAATTGCAGCACATTAATATTTTTATCTAAATGCCAATTACGTAAATACGTACTATTTAAAAAAGGTTTTTCTTAAAAGTTGCTAAAACATACGTGCTCATAAAAAAAACTATCGTATCAAATTACAAAACCCAAGTGATATATATATTGTACTATCTTTATTGAGTAAAAGGTAGAAAAATAATACTATTTTTATTATTTATTTAACTCTAATGATATGTATCGCAAGTCTGTTTGCGTTGCATGCACTTTTTACATTCAGCATCTTCACTTTCTCTTTTTTCAACACCTAAATATATATCTATCTTATTTTAAGTTTAAAAATATTTTAGGATTTCAAGTAACGCGGCGAAAAGACCTCATTTGTATAAAAGATTCGGTACGTGTGTTGGACTTATTAATATTATATTGTATTATTAGATAGGAGGATATACCACACCATTCGCGGTCCTTGGCTCAGCATTGTTCGTAGCAGCTGTTAGCACTGCTTTCATTTTACCGGTACATAATAACAACGATAATGATGCACACAATACTGGAGGTAGTGTTTATTCAAATAAATATTTAAATCATGTGATCACGATCCTATATTGATTTTATATACAATACATAATTTATTATGAATTCGTAGGAGTAATGAAAGTTTTGAGAATTCCCGGTGTGATGATCGCCTCCATGTCAATAATTGGGACGAGCATGAGCATCGGATTTTTACAAGCGACACTGGAACCGCATCTGAGGCAATTCAAATTAAGCCCAGTCGTGTTAGGACTAATGTTTGTGATTAATGGCGGTACCTACGCGCTAACTGCGCCTGCATGGGGCTGGCTTTGCGACAATTACTGGCACCCAAAGGTAATTTCATATTGCAAATATAGAAAAAAGATTATTAAGATTCTACATAAAATTACAACTTTCAATTGAATTATCTCCATAAATTGCAATAATTACATCACAAATAATACCAAGCGTAATCACGAGTTCGCCTCCGCCCCAACGCATTACATCAGATTTAAGATATCATTGTAAATATATATCAGCACAAAAAAGACGTAACGCTCTTCAGGTAGCAACCGTCGCTGGTTGCTTTCTCGTAATGATCGGTTTCTCGCTGGTCGGTCCAGCACCGTTTATCCCGTCGACCATTACAATCTGGATGCCTATCAGCGGACTCGTGATCCATGGCTTAGGCATGGCTGCTCAACTGGTTGCAAGCTTCACGGATGCCTTACGGACATCTATGTAAGTCGTGCAAAAGAATAATTCTAAATCATCTCAATTATTTTCGTGCAATGCGCAAGTCAACTGTTGCAGTTTAAGTTGTAAATTAATGAACTTCAAACATTGTTATAAATGGATAATGCTTTTAATTCGTGTTTCATGTCAAGATCATTTGGATTTCCAAATAATCTTGAAACTTATGGCCTTATCAGCGGATTATGGACAAGTACGTTTGCTCTTGGAGCTTTTATCGGACCCAGCATCGCTGGAATTCTACTGGATAAAATCGGTTTTAGAAATGGTTCCATGTTTATCGTGTTACTTCACATGCTAGTGGTATGTTCTCTGATTTATTTGATGTACAATATATATCATATATAATATGTAGAATATTTTTCAATTAAAAAAATTGGTTTTTTAGCTCAAATCTAGTTGTAAGCTGTTTAAAAAGAAACACCATAGCCTAATGCAATCTTTCTTTGCAAAAAGAATCATAAAAATTTAAAATTATACTCTCAAAATGAGTACTATACTTACAATTATATACAAAACTATGTTTACACGCACATCCTTTAATAATATCCATAGTTATAAAATTGGCCAATACGCAAAAACAATTCCTCTGAAGAATTGAATGACTTTGATTGACCAATTACTAACTACCGTTTGTGTCTGTAAACGTAGTCATTGATACCTAGCTAGGCATAAAATTTCGTCTTACTTGAATAATCATAAACTCTTTAAAAAATCAAATTTTTCGATTTCAAAAATTAATTAACATTATTTGTCGATTATTTACAAACTATACAAATATCTCGAATTTAAACTTTCATACAATATAATTGTTCGGTGGTTTGTGTCTAAACCACAATAAAATTGTTTGCATTAATTTTTTTCGCAGGGCGTGATAGCCGCAGTGTTTTTGAGCAGCTGCAGTCGTGCACCCAAGCCATATGTCGAAATCTCGACGGTTGAAAATCTCAGAGCACCACTGATGGAGAGTGACCGATTAGGCGGTAGCAGAAGTGTGCATCCGAATGGACGGGGCCAGGGTGTGCCGATCGACAGGCCCGGCGGCATGAATTCGCTGATCGTGTGTAACAGTTATTCGAATAGAGCCGGTGCATGGTCCAGGGCATCGTACAGCGGCCGCTACTCTCACAGTTACGGTTCCATAGAAAATAAACGTTATCTAGAGCTCACCACGTGATAACGAACGTTCAGCATTGTGTCCGGAAACGGCAATAAGAGTATAAGATTAGATTTTGTCACTCCATTCGTCATCACTTCTCTGGTTCCCATCATCGTAATCATTCAATTCGCAAATACACATAAGAGACTATTTCTTATTCAAAAAGAATATCAGGTAAAAATTAATGTTCCATTATTTGCTTTATCGGTAAGCTAATAATAACCACAAATTTAACTTAATATCTTTATGATAAAATTTATACGATAATAATATAAATATTTTCATAAAGCCCACTTAAATTTACAATATTATCATGATAAAAGGATATAAAGTGGCACTGACAATAAAAAAAACTAACTTAAGCACGTCTATTAGTACAGCAAAATTAAAATTAATTTTATCTACATCACCAAACGCAAAATTTTAACATATGCATACATATAGGATACGTATCATTTCTCTGATGCCATATAATGTATCACAACTATATTGAATTATGTTGAACTAAGTTATGTTATCATAAAGTAAGGTATTATGATCATTATCATAAGAATTTAAAAAAATAGTTTCGTAAATCAATGATTTAACCCATTAAAAGAAATACGCGAATTCCTTTCACGCGCTGTCTTCACTATCTTGACCACGTACTACCTTAATTTTTATTCTTAAAAAAGTAAGTTTTACAATATTTTCACTTATACAGTACTAATTAAATCGATAGAGGAATGTAATTTACAATCAAATGTAAATGTAATTTTAGAATAATGATACGTAAATTGTGAGATTTTTCTCTTCTTATGTCTAAGATTTTAAAGACTGCATGTTACGGACAAAATTCACAAGTGGGCAGTGTCGACTTTGTTCGGGTAATGTCAACATTACTCAACGCGGTTAGGTTGTTGACCGGGCAATACCGACATTGTACAGCAGGCAACTCGGACAATGTTAACATTACTCATTACACGGACTTTGCCTGTAACACAATATACAAAAGTTACAATATTTAAGGGATAAAACAACCAATCTCCAAAGAAAGTCGAATAAAACATATAGTGGATGCATAAAATGCTTCAAGCAGTATTCACAGAGTGCATTATCGCCGATCGTTTTATCACGGTTTACTTAACGGACTCATGCTACACTCTACCCTTTCTGTTAAACTCAAGTCTACTTCGATTCTTCCGCTACTATTACTGTTGCAATAACATCTACCCACACACACACACACACACATATGCACGCGTTTCGCTACTGATCAGGAATGGTTTTACTTTTATGTTTTCTTAGGTATTTTTCTTTGAAGAGATCGAAAATAATCATTATAATAATACCATATTTAAGGAAAAAAATTGGTACATCGAAATAAAGTAAATATAAAAATCCTTTTTCGCCATCGTTATAAAAGTCTGTTACGATTTAATAATTTATTTATAAAATTAATTCCGAATTGTGGATCAATTGCAAATAATATTGCGCCACAAAATGTTAATGATATAGATTACATTTTTTATAATAACATTTGTTATCTTAGTACCTTCACTTTGAGCATTGCGCATCGCATGGTTTTATTCATCTTAAGTATTTCGACGTACTAATTTTTCCTTAAGTCTGGCTTTATCATAATGATTATTTCCAGTGTCTATGAAGAAAAAATCCCCGAGCGCGATAGCGGAACGTTCGAAAATTTCTACTCTCCTTTCATTCTTCAATCGGAACATACATTTTATCAATACAGCTTATGATAATCGTTGAATAGTGTTATTTTCTTCAAAAAGAAATATTGCCCTTATGATCCGCATCACGACTAGTGTATCTAACATTTATAATCAAGGTTCTTTGTTTTATATAATATTAAATTTAACAGTATAAAGTACGGCGTAATCATCTTGCTATATAAGTTTCTATTTTATAGCGTAAAAAATAGCATCAATATCGAATATTTTATAGCATTGAACAAATCGAGAAACTTGGCCGATATTTGATTGATGGAGCTTGAATCTAGAATTATGCGATTATGCCGTTGCATAAACCTGTACTTGCAACGGCATAATTCTAGGTTAAAGTTGCAACAGAAAAGGTAACGGACGTTGTGGGTGTTAATGGTGTCGTCGATATCATGTGCAAATGGCTTTCGTAACAAGTTTGCTGCGTGATTATTGCCAATCATTATTGCAACTGTTCACACGAGAAAGAATCTAAATATTGAAATTGTAAATATACTATTTTTAATTATACATATACTCTAAATCTTTGGAAGTGTGTTCAAAATTGAGTCAGTCTTGGCAAAAAAGTAATAATTATCCATTCTTGAACAAGAGTTTTTACTCTTTTGAAGTGAGATTTATTCTAAAGAAATAAAATTTCCTTTTTTTGGAGTGAAACTTTATCTTAGAACGACTTTCACTTCTTGGAGCAAATTTCACTCCAAAAAAAGTGAAATTTACAACAAAAGAATGATATCTTACTCTTAAAGAGTAAAATCTGCTACTTTTGTTCAAAAGTGAAAATATTTTTACTCTTTTTTCAAAACTGGCTCAATTTTTAGTCTTTTAAAGAGAGATTTTACTCCAAAAAATTTAGAGAATATTATTTCACCGCTGAATGATTATGAGTAACGTATCATGTTTGAGTAGGATATACTTTTTAATATATTTTATAAAATATTGTAGGATATTTTTATATATAAAAATAAAATAATAGAGGATAAATACACGTATAGTAGCAGTTGTAACATTATAAATCTATCCAATAAAAGCTTTTTTATTTAAAATATAATTTCAAATTAATTTTTTTAATTCTGCTGTGAATGCTATTATTGTTTTACGAATACATTAATTAATGTATTCGTTAATTAAATACATGTAATTAACTACTCTAATGAGAATGAGATAACGAAGATCTGACATAAAATAATTAAAAAAATGTTATTTAATAAAGCTTTAGTTTTACATATAAAATTTTCAATTTCTTTAAAAAAAAAACGAAAAAAAGACTTTCTTACAATGTTACGTACAATATTTCTCTTTTTTTTTTCCCTCTGTTTATATCTTATATATTAGAAGCTGATGCATTCCTGTTTAAAGATACGCATCCTTTCCTCTTCTTCATGAAATTCACTTTCATAGATCTCTCAATGCTTTTAACTACCGTATCGAGTTGTCGAACGTGCTTGACAAACGCAGTTCTTTCCTGCGCTCGATTTTGAATTCCAAGCTGTTCACGCATACGACACGCCCACACACGTGCACGAATTCTTTAACAATGTATGCACGACTGTCTCTTTTCTCGCTCCCGTCTGTGGATATATAACAATGCGAAAAAAAAGGCGCGTTCTGTGAACTCCGCACGTGCAAATGTGTGCGTCGATGATTCATAACTCAAATATTAAAAGTAGATAATCTCGCGGTTCCGAGAAAGGACACATTGCTAACATGTTTGGTCACCATTTTAAGATACTTAAACTTAGATAAATCTTTTTTCAATAATTGACTTTAAAGTCTATTTATATCATAAAACACAACCCATTTGCATTTTATCAGACAATTGTGATGTTCAATTTGTTAATAAATTGATTTACTTTAAAACTGACATGAAAATACGATTTAGAGTATTACAAATTTAATATATATATTATTATATTACTTATAACAATTCTAAGAATTATATATCGTCTTATTACGGAAACTATCTTTTTACGTTTAAATTTTTTAAAACAGACAATATAATTTTTTTAATGAAATTATTGATTTCGATACAAGATGCATACAAAAATTGTTTAAACTTTTTCTTATTTGACTAACCGAACGTTTAAAGTTTATTGCAAGAACTCAAGCATCTTCCTAACTAATTTTATTGCATCTGCACGAGAATGTGCAACACGTAAAGCTAAATAACGCGCTACTGTTTCCGTAACTATTTCGTATTCCACAGATCGTCGTGTTCACTCGTGTGCATCGACCTGTCAGTAAATGATTCTGCTATTTCTACAATGCGCTAGCAAAACTCTATTCGGCACTTCTTGCTAAAGATTGCCTTTCGCATTATGTGATTGTTGCATATCAAATCGATGATTGACATATCAAAATTAATTTATTGATCCATTGTATTCACGTGAAATATGTCAAATTCGTATAATGCACCTGAAGTAAATTAAAATAAAATAATCTATGAAAGATATACAATACATCTAAGTAAGTAGAGAATTTGTTTACATCAATTAAATATATTAACATTGTTCATACAAAGAATTACATTTTTACCTTCGTAAAACTAAGTATGTTTATAAAGTAAAGATGAAAAAGGCGCTTCGTATATACATATACATACGAGCGGAAGGAAGCAGTGAAAGAGAGTAGACAGAGAAAAAAAAGAGAGAAAGAGAGAATCCGAGAGTCTTTGTCTTACCCTCTTTAAACACAACCGCGCACGAAAGCGAAGTGAAGGAACGAAAGGAAGACGAGGGAATTATTAACGCATACGGCGTTGCTCACCGGTGTGCATCGAAGTGTTCGTCGAAGCACTAGCTTCCCTCCTTTCGACCCGACACCCCACGGTCCTCTTTTCCCCCACGATTCTCAATGACGAGACATAAGGCGTTACGTCGCGAATTCCTACGGATCTTATCGTCCCGGCTGGCTGAATGCAAGAATCCAGCCGGAAGGAACAGCATGGTCGAGGGCAACACGATTGCAATTATTGCAATTACGTAATAATCGCTCCCTTTTAACGTAATTGAAGAGACAGTGTCCGAAATTAATTTCATTCTTAAATGTGCAATTAACCCTTTATTTGCGTACGTACATCTAGCTGAAAGAATTCCATGACAAAAGAAAGTGAAATTTGAAATAAATAATTAGTCGAAGCTTGTTATTGTTAATTCAGAACATTTGTTTAATTCAAATCTAATTAAATATAAATTTGAAGGTTTGAAACAGTCTTCCTAGGACTCATATATAATTACTTTTTGAGTCAAGCCCCTATTCCGTAACTTTTAACGACTATTGGTGTCGTTACATTGTCGTTGCGCAGCTTCTTTGCCATGTACGTTAAAACCTTTGCGCAACGACATTGTAACGATATCATTACTGTGAATTACAGAATAGGAGGCTTATAATCTAATCTGTAACAGCTGCAATTCTTAACGACTGTAACAATATCGTTACATTGTTGCGCAGCTTTTTCACTATATACAAAACCTGTGCAACGACAATATAAAGATATAATTACTGTGTGTCGTTAAGAGTTACAGAATAGAACTATTAAACACCTATTCTATAATTCTTAATAACTGTAATAGTATCGTTACATTATTGTTGCGCAGTTTTTTTATGATACTATGTAGAAAACCTACGCAACAACAATATAAAGATATCGGGAGATATCGTTATGACAGTCGTTAAGAATTATAGAATCGAGGGGTAACCACTATCTGAAATATTGTCCCACAGATTACATGATTTCATTTAATTTTACATAATTTTCTTTGATGGCAAATAATTTTCCTCACTATATATACGGTCATTTGGTAAAATAAACGATTTTATTTAATATTACACAATTATTTCTTGTACTTACATATGTAATTATCGAAATTTCATATAAATTTTATAATAATTTCAGGGATTCCGTCTCACGATTACATTAAGTGATTACTCCCTCGTATAGAATAGGATCCATATTTTTTTTAATCGAATTTTTTTATCAACTTGTAAAAATCAAAGCAAAGAATGTCTATTTAGATATTTGATGGAAAAGTCCAAAAAAAATGTCAGTATCTTTATCAGCATCGTCCTTGTGGAATAGAAATAAGAATAATCATATCGTAAATATCGAAATCAGCTGTCGTGTAAAAGACAGCCACCTTGCTCCACACTTCCCTTGTTCCTCGACCTACCATCAGGTGCACTTATCAGGTGAGGTGCTGCCACCTGAGCAGGTACACAAACAGGTAAAGACAAACATAATGCTCACGCACACGTACAAGTAACCTGCGAAAAGGAGCAGGTCTGTGGAAAGGGGGTTGCCGGTCGTTCCTCCCACCTTGCGCCCTGTCAACCGGTAGAGGGGCCCCGATGCGCAAGCGCAAAGACCCGTGGGTCCTTTGCACTGAGAACGAACGGCCGAGACCCGACTCTGAAGTCCGTTTCTGTCGTAGGGGAAGTTGCCGCGGAACGTGCTGATCGTCAACGTTTCTCTCAGCGGTTTATAACTTCCATCCTCCGCGAGTTCTTGTTTTGATTTTTTTTTTTTTTTATTTCATCTCCTCTTCTTCCTTTCTTTTTTTTCCTTCGTCACGATTCGTTCGCGAGTGAAACGTGCGCACGATTTTGGGATTTCGATACGCATTATCAGTGACGAAAGAGAAAGAAAGAGAGAGAAATTACTCGTGTTTATCAGTGTGCACTGTGCCATGGGGATCTAGGAACACCGGTCAGGGTGAGTTATTAATTATGTTATCTGACGAAATTAATTTTTTCTTAATCCTCTAAAGAATACAAGTACAAAACACTTTATGAGACTAAAATTATGTAACAAATTCTCCTCAGAAAGAAATATCTTATTTAAAGAAGAAAGCTACATTTTTTTCATTTTACTGATTATTTATAAATAGAAAGAAAAAATAAATTTTTTAATTTTAAATAGATACTGTTAATTTTTTAAAATTTGTGCTTTTTAGAATTAAAAAAACAGCATTTACAATTTGCGATAATAATACAAGTAAGCTTAAATGAATATAGAAATTTATTAAATGGATAGAGAACATTAATCCTTTAGAAAACGATAATATACATACTTAAAAAATTTTACAGCTTTTCCTTAAATAATATTTATTATAATTGCAATGTATTTCTTGCCTCAAAATATGACACTGTCACGTATAATATTGTTTGAACGCGATTATAGTGGTTTTCCCATTCGTGAAGATTAAAAGTGTCCGATTTTTAATACTGATGAGAATTTCATATACTTCTCTCCCTCCCTCCCTCCCCCCCTCCTCTCTCTCTCATATATGTACATATATATGTGTATATAAATTATTATTCCTTTTTCAAATATAAGATAAAGTATAAATTTTACATAAATCAATACTAACATTAGAAAATACATAAATCCATTCAAGACATTAGAAACTCGCTAATGGCCTCTATAGCATCTTTATGACATTATGAAATTGTTCTAAACATGTTGGTCTGTGCCATTCACTTTTTATGAGAAGTAAAAAAGTGGAAATATTGAAAGGTGAATGATAATAAAATTGTCAATTAATTTACACGACGCGATTTGTAAAATCTTGGTTTATCTTGGAACCTTACGTTGTTCTTCTGAATATGTGTAGAATTTTTTTTAAATATTTGTTTCACGAATATTCAAAGGCGATGTTACGCTCATCTAACTATCGCAAGAACATGATAATTATTATTAATCTAATCGTAATTGCGATCTTCTATGGAACACACACAGGAATCTCCGCAACATTTACGTTAATATTTCCATAGCACGAAAGTGCAATGCGATCCCCGGCTCGCCGCGGAGGTAAATAGCCGAGTGGAGCACTGACCGGTGATTTGAATGCGCGATGCAGTCGCCAGGCGCTACGATTCATAAACGCTCCGTATCTGCTCTCTGTACTTGGTAGCAGAAATACGATACACGCACGCTCGTATAAACATCATTGCAATTTATCATCAGACAGTGATGTATTGCACGTGTATTGCTGTCGCAATATAAATAATTTTCCTGTAATTTTATTGTCTTAACGACATCCTCTATGGACGAAATTGTTGTCTTTCTGCGATAAGGAACAGCATTCGTTCCGCTTATAAAAATCAAAAATTAGTCACAAGGATTGATAGATCCACTTTCCTTTTAGGTTTTCAAAAATAGGTCACGATTGATACACTTGCAATTTTTTTCATGTTAATCTCATTTTAAGGTTTAGTAAATACACATAATTATGTTTGAAGAACCAATACATTTTCATTTTACCGCTTACCATATGGCGTGACGTTCCGTTGTATGAAATGCCTCGAGAAAATTATCGATTATAATAGCTGGTTTTGATCGTCGCGCGGTGCTGGCTCTCGTTTTATGAACCACCTTCGATTTTACGCCGAAAAAAGACACGCGCTCAATTATTTCGCGTGTAGGTTACAATCAGCTAGGGTATTTGAAATTGTGATTCCAGGCGTGTCCGAGAAGGGAAGGTTAGGGCGAGCAGACGAATGAACGAACGGACGAACAGACGGACGGATGGATGGACGTAAGTATCGTGCGTATGTGCACGTATACATCGTCGGAGATCAAATCACGTTAGCCTAATGTCGGGAACGAACACGTTCGTACGTGGGTGGTTGTATCCACGCTGGAATCTCGACGGCGATTCAACATCCTGTGGTTTCATACCGCTAAAGGATTCCCGTAGGAATCCAATCTCACGCAGCATCTCTTTAATGTGAGAAGGGAATACAGGCCTGTTAGCCGAGAAGCGATAGAGAGTAATCGTAGTTAATTTGGATAATTTACGAGTTAAGACAATTGTAGGTCTCTACAATCACCGTAAGCGACAGAATAAAAATATTGGAGTTTTTTTTTAATTATACATTTTCATTTTATATATAATTCAAAAAATAAAACTTTAAGGTAAAATATAAATATTTAAAACGTATCTTGTATACAATTTAATACTGTTTAACATATGTTTGAAATATGAATGAAATATTAACAATATGATTTGCAAACAAAAGAAACGTGACATCATCAAAGATGATGTTATTTAAAAATCTTAATTAGCGACGATATTTTATTTTTAGTACGATTGTGATGTCATAGAAGGTAATCATAGAAGGCATCGCGGGTTCATGATCTCTTTTATCTTCTCTTTTCCTCCTCAATTCGCGTAAACAGGACGCAGAAAACAAGCGTCATGCTCAACGGATCGAACGAAGATCGTGCGAACTACGGGTGCGCAATTAATCTCCATTTCGCGCAATTTCCTATATCGTGATCCATTATCCCCCTGAGTCTCCCAAGAGTGTCGGTATGCAAAGTGTGCGCGGGCCCGAATTAATCGCTCTCGATAACAACATGCGACGGAGTAGAATATGCGAGGCCCCGCGCTTTATATCGGGAGCTGGACCGCGCCGCAGCTCGTTACACGAGTCTCGGAATGAACCGCACGGGTCTCCGTCCGGAGAGCCAATCGCTTTCCGCATGTGTTTTGCATATGGACTCTGTTTGGTTGTGAGGGGCCTCGCAGGCCCCCCTCGTGTCGGACCCACTCGAGAGAGATTCGGGACCTCTTGAACGTCTCTCTATATTGTGTGCGTGTGAGACGCGTTTATTGTGCTTTTGTGTGCGTTGCGTTGTGCATGCAAGATGTGCGAGAGGGTGTGCGCCGTCACGAAATGTAGTCGAACCGGCTACGAACGCGTATACGTACTACAACGCATCCACGGGGAACCCGAGCCTTGCAACTTCGTGGATGCTGGATCTCCGAGTGCCCTGACGAATTTCTTTCTCCTGAAACGCATACGCGTTATGCCTGCTAAGTGTACACCGCGGTAAAAGTTTTACACCTCGCGATTTTGCACGGATCGCGGGCTTTCCTTGCGGTCGAAAGCAGTGAATGTTCCTCGTTACGAGATCGCATATTATAAATACATACTTTTTTTTACCGAATGGGAGACCGAACCGCCGCCGGTTTCAATTCTCCGATCGAGGAAACGAGATCTCGCAGCAATTGAACGCGCGCAATAATCGTTTCCTAGCAAGGTCGCGATAGATATCGGATAGTTTAATTAGACACCAATTTTAATAGCAAAAGAAACGCAAAAGAAAAACTAATGGTTTCAAAATGACTTTAATTAACTCTAAAATGATTATTAAAAGTCATTTATCGATCAATCACGATTCATTTTAATGTCATTTTGACGTTATTTCGCCATATTGTTCTGTTTGATTATTAAAAGTAGCGAGAGTTCTATAGAGACATCAGTAGAAGTATAGCGTTTAAAATAAAACACTCAACGGTAATACAGGATTCCGTAAACCTGCTCTTCTAGCACAATAATAAATTTCGAGATCCTCGTCCCGAGATACTCAAGGAGGAAAAGAGTATAATGACACTGCTGCATTCTATGCGTTGGTCTTAGCCGCCGATGCATGTTCCATGCATTTCTGCGATGTCGCTCCCGGCACCGAGAAGCAGAGAGGAGCGACCGTTCGTTCGTCCGGTCGTCCGAAAAAGAACATCTCGGCTCGGCGAAGAAAGGCTCGTAAAAGCGGCATGCAGTCATTGCACCGCATGTAGGATCCGCGCACCTCCGCCACGCCGCTTGCAGAACAGCGAACAATGGATAGTGACGTCACGAGACTGCACCTGTAGCAGCAAATGCGTGTGCGCGAGAACGGTCCCGTGAATCTCAAGCGTCTCGCGGACTCTATTCCGCAGCTTTTGAACCGGGCGAGCAAGTGTTTGATACACGGCGTATGGCGCCAGTATCTTCATTTCCGTATAATTACGTACCATTATTTTGCATATTGCTTGAAAACGTCTAACCAACGAGAAATCGAAGATTCAATAGGTGCGACGTAGGTTTTTATTATACCTGATCAATTTATCATCATTGTTAACAATGCTGGTTAAAAGACGCGCGTATTATTAACTTGATGTAAATAATTTGTTGATTCTTCATCAAGCTTTGTATTCGAAAATCGAAGTTCTTTGGAAGAAGAGAATTAAAAATTTTCTCTTTAAATGAGAAAAGAGGATGTACCGAAGTTATAGAAATTTTATTTTGATTTTGCTGAAGTTTCGTTTAGTTTCGTTTTATAAATATAACGGATTTTTTGTACCAATTCAATAATATTATTCATGCATTTATATAAAAAAAAGTATCGCCCTTTTTTAGAAAATAATAAATAAATAATTAATGCAATTGTATAAGCTTAAAATAAATGTTTTATTTACATTTACTGTAGTAATAATCGATCATTGCGAAAGACCTCGAAAATTGTACACGGAACGCAACGTCTCTCACGAAACGTCGTGAAATATCAAGACAAATGCATCGCGCAAAGATTTGAGGATATATTGCGAAGTCGTAAATTTCGACAAATTATAGCCGGATTGCAAGCATCGGCAAAACATAATCCTCGTTCCCGAGTAAATTCTCTCACGTTGCTGTGCAAAAATGCTGCCACGATGGGACAACGTGAATTTTTTTCGGGTGTAATCGCGCTCTCCGACTGGACTTTCTCCATTTAAAATTCGTCTGCCTTCACCTGACCGAGTCATCGTTCCGTCCGGCTCTCAAGACCGGATCGGATCAGGAGAAGGAGGCCTCGCTAAATATCTTATTACTTTTGAATTAACATATCGGTACCGAGATAACTGGACTTTTTCTTGCCGCGACTCTCTGTCAGCACACTGCCGA